TAAGAATTATTTCCATCAGAAAAGATATCTCTGCAGATTGTGCTTTCATTGACTTTAATCAAGTTTGAAACTTCATTAGTGTTCTTTTTCTCAATGATTATAAACATTTCTATTTTTCTATAACTCTTTGAACAAACTCTGTGTTCCTTCTGATCATGTCTTCAGTATATATTCACTTAAATATGTATGTGCACATAATTAAACATGGAATTCCTGCCGGGCGGTGGTGGCGCACGCCTTTAATCCCAGCACTCGGGAGGCAGAGCCAGGCGGATCTCTGTGAGTTCGAGGCCAGCCTGGTCTACAGAGTGAGATCCAGGAAAGGCGCAAAGCTACACAGAGAAACCCTGTCTCGAAAAACCAAAAAAAAAAAAAAAAAAACAAAAAACCATGGAATTCCTACCAGGAATATCAAAATGAAAAATTAACAGTGCTAAATACCTACACCCCCACCCCACACATCATTATATATGCACTTTTCTCCTGACACCAGATGCAGGGCTGTATATGATCTTGCACTATTTAAAGATAAGACTAATTTAAATTCTCATATTGCTCTTGTATTGCTGGTGCAAAAAGAAATTGAAACAATCACTTCAGAAGACCATTTGCTGGTATTCACTTAAGCCAACCACACTCAAACCCTATGGCCTACATTCCCTGCTATACAGCCAACAGAAATTTGTACTAGGCTTACTGAAAAGAAAATCTCCTTGTAATGGCCCCCAAATAAGAGGCAACTAAATTCCCATCCATTCACTATATGAATTGCATTATAAGTAGACAAGGGAAATCTATTCATTTACATAAAAATAAACTATTGGTTTGTAGCAAAATGTCAATGGTTTTTATAGACATGACATTGGATGCAAGCAGACAAACGCTAAAGACTACATACTGGCAGCAATGTTAACTGTGACAGCTTTAACAAGAAGTGGTTTATGTATTGGAAATATTCTATAGAGCAATGTCCCCTTACCTTCAATTTTCACTTTCTCAGCTTTCAATTACTTAAAGTCATCTCACTTTAAAAATATTAAATGGAAATCCTCAAACAGTTCTTAAATTTTAAGCAACAGTATGGATCATAGTATTATTAAATCTTGTGTTGTTCCACTATACCCCAAGTGGGATATGAATTACCTATTTGTCCAACCTCTGCATGCTACTTATCTTGAGGGACAGAATGAAAGAGATAACATTTACACAATTTTATTATAGTGTACTATTATGAGTGCTCTGTTATTTTGTTATTGTTATCTCTCATTGTGACTAATTTATAAATTAATCTTTATTATAGATATATGTAAGAAAACATATAGTATCACATATACAGAATTCATCATTATCTGTGGTTTCAAGTGTCAACTGGAGTGTACCATGCTGTGGATAAAGGGTGGCTAGTGTGTCTTCATGTGAGCAGTGATCACACATGTATGTATTTACACATGGACAGTTTAGTAATTTGCATTCTTTACACACATTTTCACATGTGAGTTACAAGAGGTGTTGGGAAAGATGGCACCTGCCCTGATTTCATAAACTGGGCAGATGCCTCAAGCATCAGAAAGAAGTTCTGATGTGAACTCTCCCACAAGAATAATGTAATTGTGCACAGTGCACAGTGGTGATTCAGCACATTAGCTTGCTCTTCCCTGTGTCCAAGCTGCACCAGCCATTATGGTGGTGAAGAAAATCCTTGGGGATGATTTCCTACTAGATTATTTTTTCTGTGTTTCCTCATGCAGTTTGAAGAAAGGAAATGAACTTGTGCACTTTGAGGGTGCCGTTGTGGCAAGATTCCTTCTGGACCTGTGGAGTTTACTTTTCTTGTAGAGGTTTATGAGAAGCAAGAGGAATGATCACAGTTACCTTTGCCTTAAAACATAGAGATTGGTAACGCAGGCCTGAGATCCCAGCTCTTCCCAGACCCACCCCTACCCACCCAACTTTGTCCTCCTTTTAAATTCATTCATTTCACCATCAAGTTCATTTTGTGCTGTGGATGTGGGGCCATTGACTCGAGCACAGTCAACCTACTAGGGACCACACTCTTCAAGAAAATCAGCTCTCTCTCTTCCTGCAGCTATCAGTTGGTGATAGATTCTCAGCCAGGGGTGGGACTTTGTGTCTTCTCCTTTCCTCCATGCTGGGATTTATTTTCTGCCTTGAGTTTGTGTTGTGGGCTATTTGAACATTGTGTGAAGATGTATTTGCTGTGATTGGTGTAATAAAAAGTTGAACGACCAATAGCTAGGCAGGAGGTATAGGCGGGATTTCCGGGGAGAGAAAGGAAGAATAGGACTCTAGGTATGAAGGAGATGCCAATGAGGCATGAGGGGAATTGGACATACAGAATGAAAGATAAAAAGCCACGAGGCAAAATGTAGATTAATATAAATGGGTTAATTTAAATTGTAAGAGCTAATGGGAGAAGCCTAAGTTAAGGCCTAGTTTCCATAATTAATAATAAGTCTCCATGTCATGATTTGGGAGCTGGCTGGCAGAACAGAGAAAGACTCGTTACAAGTTTGTGCAGGTCTTGTATACACTGTCACAACTACTGTGAGTTCACGCGTGGAACTTAGAACACTGGTTTCTTGTACTAGTCTACCACCTCACAGTTTTTCTCTGCCTTTTTCCATGACGATCCCTGAGGTTTGGAAGGAAGGGGTGTGATAGAATTGTCCCATTTAAGGCTGAGCACTCCTCACTTCTTATCCTTTGCACCTTGACCAGTTGTGGGTCTCTGTGTTGCTTGCAGTCTGCTACAAATAGAAGTTTCTCTGATGAGGGTTGAGAGATGCAGTAAGCTATGGATATAGTGATAAGTCATTAAGAGTTGGTTTAATACTAGGCCCATTTAGAATCATAGTAGTGCGTTTGCTTCTCTGTTAGGGCCTATGATCTAATAGTCACAGATTCTTGGCTTTGATAACAGTGGACATATATTTCCAGGCTGGTCACTATTGTAGTTTGCAGGGCTCACAGCTGGGTAAGACTGATGATTGTCTTTCTCCCCTAGTCACATGCATAGTGCCTTTTAGCACTATAAAAGCTAGTCAGTAGGGTTGAGGCTTCCAGACAAGTACGAGCTTGATTTCCTCATGTTCAATGATTGAAGTAAGTATTATCTTCAGCAATAGGATCTTACCATCAAGCCAAGTGATCAAGAGTAGTGGCAATGGTCTGTAATGTTTGGGCATCTGTGGGACCCCATTAGCCAACAACTCCAAAAGAGGTGCCCCACTCCTGGCACTGGGCTTTTTATTTGTTGGTCTCCTGTAATGTCTAGCAGGGGCATTGACCCCTTAAAGGGTAGCTCTATTTAAAATATTTTTATGCATATATATATATATTATATATATATATATGAAGCTTCTACAGTAGTATGACTTTTTCAAAAGTCTTCAGTGTCAGTTTTTTCCCCCATACTTCCTCTTCTACCTATCCCTCAACCCCATTTAACCCTTCCACTTCCCATTATTCCTCTTTCCCATTTTATACCACTGTATTCTATTTTCCGTTCCTTCAACATGCTTCTGCCCCAGACCCCAGATTCTTAATGGATTCATACATAGATCAAGGAATCATTCAAAGAATTCATCTGATAGCTCTGTATTGAGAAGTTGAAATACTAACTTTTTGTTGTAAATACTTTTCAACAGTTTTAACATGTGTATGTCTTTTTATACTATAAAGACAACAAATGACTAGCAAATAACATTTTGGAATAAAAAACACAATGAGGAGACCAGTAAGAATTAAAAGAAGCCGGGCGGTGGTGGCGCACGCCTTTAATCCCAGCACTCGGGAGGCAGAGGCAGGCGGACCTCTGTGAGTTCAAGACCAGCCTGGTCTCCAAAGCGAGTTCCAGGAAAAGCGCAAAGCTACACAGAGAAACCCTGTCTCGAAAAAACCAAAAAAAAAAAAAAAAAGAGTTAAAAGAAATTATCAAACAATATTAATAAACAGAGGTGATGATTACTATACTTATTGTTAACATCAGAGATTTCATGTTAAAATTTCCGACTGCAATTGTCGTTTTACTTCTTTAAAAAAAAATGAATGTTTTGAGACAGGCATGGTGGTGTACACCTTTAATCCCAGTACTCGGGAGGCAGAGGCAGGCAGATCTCTGTGAGTTCGAGGCCACCCTGGTCTATAGAGCGAGTTCCAGGACAACTAGGGTTGTTACACAGAGAAATCCTGTGTCGAAAAACCAAAAATAAAATAAATTAAATAAATGTTTTATTATTTCTTTGAGAATTTCATACAATGTATTTCACCATATTCATTCCCAACTCCTTCTCTACCTCCTCACAGATCCACCCCTCAACTCTGGGTCCTCCTTTTTCAAATTTTTAATAACTCATCAATTCTGGTTTATGCTCTCCACTGAAGCATGGTCAATTTACCAAGAGTCAAACCTTTAAGGAAAGTTGACTCCCTCTACCCCAGAAGTCATCATCTCTACATATCTCTTCAGTTAGGAGTTAGGGCTCATGAACCGCTCCATGCCAGACTGTTGGCTGGCTTGATCTTGTAGACGTCTCCTGAAGGTAAAGCCAGCTGCTGTGAGCTCACGAGTGCAGTGCTTCTGTCATGCCCAGAAGACACTGTTTTGCTCCGATCCTTCCTGACCTCTGACTCTTACACATTGTCCACCCCTTTTTCCTAGACAGTCACTGAACCTTGAGGACGAGGTATGACATAGTTGTCCCACTTGTGCCTGAGCACGACACAGTCATGATTGTCCGTGCTTTGATGAGTTGTGGGTAACCACCATCCATTGCACAAAGAGATTTACCTGAGGAGGTCTGGCAGCTACTTCTTTACAAAGACTTATTCTTAAAATAGTAGAGATGACAGCCTGAGAGATTGTTGGAGGAGACAGACAGACAGACAGACACACACACACACACACACACACACACAGATAGACAGACAGAGATAGACAGACAGACAAGACATAGAGACACAGAGATAGACAGAGATAACATGCAAGAAATTATTTGACCAAGCCCTGAGAACATTATAGATGAAATCCATAGTTCATTTGCTAACACTGCCCTGCCCATGTATTAGGATGTCACAAATCATTTCTGGTCTGAATTTGGAATATTAAGGAAAAACGGGTTTGAGTCGAGTTTGTTTGCTTGTGCCTGTAATATCAGTCCTTGTGAGGCTGAGGAAAGAGGATCATAAATTTGAGCCTAAACTTAGGCTTTTTATAGAGCAAGACCGTCTCTCAATTTAAAAATAAAAGACATTTTGCTCCTGAAGATTATATTCACAGAGCAAAAGAGAGCTATTGGTCTTTTGTATTTACACAGTCTCTGGCTTCTGGACACTATCACATGGGCCCTTGACTCGCTGTTCTAATGAGTAGAAATGAAATCTTGCTTGTATTTAGAGCCAAGGAAACGGAAATTCGGACCAAGTGGTATAGCCAAATGAGCATTTGCTGAAAACACAAGCCTGTGGTTGGAACCATCTCGTAAAGTCCTGACCAGAATAAACAGAAACATTCCTGTAGGGCTTTCCAGTGTGTCAGCTATGGAAAGAAACCCTTTCCAGAATGTTCTTCTGAAAATGGAAAGTTTAAAGAATGATGGGCAAAGGTTACTTTGGTAAATAGTACATAATCTCTGCCACACACATTTGTATTGTTGTCTCATTTACGGATCTTCTGATGGAAAAGGACAGAAATTCAAGTCCAATTAAAGTAGCAAAAAAAATTATTTGTCCACTTAGACCCAAAGTTCTGAAATAGAGCTGGTTCTCAGTTCAGCTGGATTATATTATCAAAGATCCTCTCTCCCTAGTGCTCTGTCATCCTTGGGGGCTTCCTTCTCTTCCCTGTGTTCTCCAGCTGCTGGAACCATTGCCCTTGGCAGTTCCAGGGTCATCCGATCCCGACAGCACATGGTTCTCATCTGATCCCGACAGCACATGGTTCCAGCACTGGCAACAGACTCTGCCCTAAACTCCCAAGGCGTGTCCCACCAGGTGATTACCCTCTGTGTATGTCAGGGATGGAGGTGAGGTGGTCTCTCAGAAGATGACAAACAGGGACAGGGAAAGGGAGAGAACACGTGGGGATGTCATGCAGGAGTCCTGGGCTTCCTGCTAAGATGAGGGATGGGCATGAAAAAGGGGCAAATGTCTGAACCAATTAAATAGAGTCAATTTCAGGATTATCAGCCCTGGGTACAATATGGTTTCAGATGCAGGACAGAAGGCACGTTCACTTCAAATACATATTTTCATATTTTCAGTTGCTCAATATAATGATGGCAGGACACTCTCAAGAAGTGCCTGGAGGCTTGCTCACAGGGCTCCTTTCTAGCTGTAGTTTCCTGTAAACCCCAAATGACTAAGTGAGATTTCATCAGACCGACTCACACCAAATAACAACTACTTCAATGTGTAAAGTAAGAAGTGAGCTTTATTGAAATAATATGACAATGTGTTCTTAACATAGTCAAGAATGTGAACATTGTAATGTTTCTCAAAGCATTTCATACTTATATAAGCACGGCTGTGCTCAGGCATGAAGGCAAACCCAAAGCAAAACCAAATCAAAGCAAAACTCTCTTGTCTGACAACATTCATGTGCTAACAATTGGTCTCTGTGTCATGAGGCTTCAGATGACTGAGTTTACAACCTCACTGCTGCCACCGTGACACACGCTCCTGAGTCCCAATGATGGGGTCCTCCTCCTCAAGTCATCCCCTTCCCAAAGTACAAAAGCATAAAAAAGGTACTAAGCCACACAAAGAAATAAAAATGGAATAATTCAAATGTTTTCTGAAGACACACGACAGCAAAGCCAGTGCTCCAGATATTGCTTCACATACTTCTCTCACATTTTGAACAGTCTGTGGCCATTTAACACATTGTATTTTTAGAAGTTATATTTTGGAGCATCTCTCATGAAGATCACAATGTTCTCTCATACACGTCTCCTCGCTAGCAGATATCTTAAGTTCAATGAGTTACAGAAAGATTTAGCCACTTTCTGAGCCTTAGGCCACCTGAGCTTTGCTCAGGAGAGGCAGTGGAGTTCACAGGGTTTTGATTTTCTTTATAATCTCAGAAACAATTTAGGCATCCACTGTCTGCCTTCAGCTTCCAGCCAAGTTTCCTACATGGACTCCAACTGTCCTCAACACAACTATCATTCCGACAGAAAGCTACCCCTTTGCCTGAATGGCTGAGTTATCAGTGTGGTCTATATGTTTCTTCTGTCTTTGCTGCTGATACATATATGCTAGCTCCACTTTGACACCATGGGGAAGTTCTAAGGCAATATTAGAAACAAAGCCAGAAAGGGTAGTCTTACTAACATTATGTGTTAAGTGAGGAGAAATTGTATTATGGAGACTTCCTGCAATATTTACATTCTATTGTTGAAAATCTTAATCTAGAGATTAATTCGGAGCCATGAGAGGTTATTTTTAAAGTGTTGGTCACTAAGTAGAAATACCTCATAAGAAATAAAATTATGAAAATATATTCATGTAAAATAGAGATGTACAGAAATATATTCATTCATATAAAATATTAAATCAATGTATCTATGGCAAAGCAGAAAAAATATTGATGCAGGATTGCCTGTTTATAATGCTTTAAAAATTATTGCAACATTTTATTAAATGCCTCTTATTCCTTTATTCTTATTTTGCAATTTTAACAGAAAAAACGATTGTTAGGATTGCTATATTCAGAAACAAACTTCTGTGTTTTATAGAAGATCTTTATCTTACTATCTTATCTTACTATACTGAGGCAGGGTCTCACTGTGTAGCCTTGGCTAGCCTGGAACTCTCCATGTAGATCAGGCTGGTTCCAAAGTCAGAGATCTGCTTGCCTCTGCCTCTCCAATGCTGGGATTAAAGACACACCCCATCACAAGCTCTTTATTCTTTATCTCTTCTTTAAACTCTAATTTTTGAATCTGTTCAAATTTACTTTATAACTGAAACAGAAAAGGAAGTGTTGACAGAGAAATCCTTGAAAGGTGTTGGTAGACATTGCTCCAAGAAAATAGAAACAGACGTTCAGCAGGCTGTTGCAGGCAGGAACCATCCCACCCTCAGATGGATTCTGCCCTGCAGAGCGCCTCAGACTGACTCATGGAATCTTCACACATCTCCGCTCACTTCTTGGGCTTTTTCTGTCTAACATGGGCTGATATATTTCAGCTGCTATGCAGTAACTGGAATGGGGTGTCAGACCTTCAATTCGAACCGTTCTCTGAGTTCCTTCATAGGCCTTTTGTTCCTACACGAGGGGAGAAATCAGATGATAAACGGTCTCCCGTGAGCCATTGATTCGCTTTTTCCTTTGTTGAAATCAGTGAGTTGTAGGTGATCACTGTCAACCTTCAGGTAAAGCCTCCTTCCCCAAAGCCCTGGGCCGTAACTGGGTGAAGCCACTTGTGAAGTGGTCAAGCCACATGCCTTCTCCTCGTAGGCTAAGGATGAAGGGAGCCGAGCCGTGGTCAGAGTCTCATCTTCAAGTACCTGAGCTCTGAGTCAGGAAATGGCATGGACTTGCAAGGGTTACCGCGGTGGCAAATGTGACCCAAGGTGGGGGAGGGGGAGAGTGAGGGTCAAGACAGAGAGCGAGTCTGCAGACCTGGCCTCCCGTCTCATTTTTCTGAGTTTTAGAAAATCTGGCAGCACCTGTTTCCTGTTTCTGGCTGAACTAGCCCTCTTCGTTTGTATTTGAACGAGTTTGAGTGTTCGTTTGTTTGTTTGGCTTTTTTTCTTCCTTCCAACTAAACACGCCCTGACTTAGATGGATACAGAAAAGGGACATTTCGTTCACCATAGAACCTAGGTAAAGGTGCTGGCAGTGGACTTTCTAATATAAACTGCCACAGCAAGACTGCTAAACAAGGGTGGGGAGGGGAAACTGCTACCGGAAATATTAAATAAATAAATAAATAAATAAATAAATAACCCCCCCAAGACTGCTAAATAATACTGTGATTCAAAAGCTACTAAAATAAATAGGGAGTATAAAGCTAGTAGAAATAAACACTAACATCGGACAAATGGAATGAAACATTATTAACTTTTCAATATGCAGGGAAGTCTAAAGAAGCAAGCTGACTATCTGAAAGGTTACATATCTGCCACACACACCCCACACCCAGGAATGCATGCACACATCAATCCTGACTGCTTCTCAGCGAAGATGAAAGAGTAAGAAGTCAGGGAACGATCCGGAGACGTAACATCAAAGAGACAGGTCGTGGGATCGGAGCAAAACGTTAGTTAAGCAAACAAAAGACCCGACATCAATTCTTCTGAACTCACCTTTGCCAGTGAATTGTTAGTTATGAAAACTCGGTATACTAAGTCATAGTAGTTTTCCATAGATGTATTTTTTCCATGTTGGTTTCTGTATGGCAGCTCTGGGGTACGGAGAAGGACCAGCAAAGATGCATTCCCTTGGATTGCAGTCATGACTGGAGGGTCTAGCTTTGCTGGAGAAAGAATAAGCAAATTTGATAAAGCACGCAAAACAGTTAAATGTTATAAATTGACACTATGCATCATGATAAGTCACTGCTGTGTTCAGAAACGTGTCAAAAATCGTTATGAAGATAACTTTCCTTCCATTTGCAAAAGACTGATAAGATTCTGTCTAGATCAATATTGAGAGAATGTCTGCCAATCATTTTGTCAACACTATGATTTTGTTAGAAAATTCAGTATAAAAGTTACGTAGAGGGGGTCTTAGAACAAGAAAGATATTATCAAGTTCCTTAAAGAGGTAAAATTTCAGAGCAGCTTTAAAACTATTCAAAGTCTTGCCGGGCGGTGGTGGCGCACGCCTTTAATCCCAGCACTCGGGAGGCAGAGCCAGGCGGATCTCTGTGAGTTCGAGGCCAGCCTGGGCTACCAAGTGAGTTCCAGGAAAGGCGCAAAGCTACACAGAGAAACCCTGTCTCGAAAAACCAAAAAAAAAAAAAAAACTATTCAAAGTCTTGTAGCTATTAAATTAATTCAACAGAATTTTGTTGTATATTATGGGAATGGCTGGATAAAAAGAGAATTTTTGTTTCATGCATTTTGCTGCCAATAACCAGATTACTATTAATAATAATATTATTATTTTAATTGATTTCAGATTCACTAAAATTTTGCAGTGATGATTTTCTTACTTGGAATTCTTTGTAATTTTCACTATATAGATACACATCTTTTATAATTCTTGAAAGCTATCATAGATAGATAGACACATATCTTACCCATATAGATACAGAGCTCTGTGTGCACTTTTTCTTTTGGAATTTTGATTCAGTATCTGCTAACTTTTTTTATTCTGTTTGCCATGTATCTTAGCTTCTCTTATGTTTAAATTTTTTTCTTCAGGATAACATATTGAATGTTCTTTTTTTTTTTCTCCAGACCTGTTTTCCTGTCTGTGAGTTTATTCTTCAGTTGTATCTGACCTGAGCTTGAATCCACAATTTTTGTTTCAGAGATTTTTTTTTTATATTTTGTAAGTTCATTGTGTTATCATTTTTCTCTTCTATGTGTTTGGAAGAGCTACATTTTTAATACACACCTCCCACCCTGGCTACTTAATCTGGGACAAAAGGAAACTGAGTTTTCAGCCATCTTGAATTGTCTGATTGTTTGCAGAAGAAGGAATGTCCCTGGATTTACACTTTACCACTCCAAGAGCTTCGAGATTTAACCTTGCTTGCACATTTCATGCTCCAAATTCTCTGGCCATCACGTGCAGATGTGAAGAACAGTCCTGTTTAGTTTTGTGGGACATTATGATATGTGTTTAATTGTTGCTAGACAAAAATTTAAGATTATTATCACATTTGGCATCTCCAAACACCCTTTTTTTAGTGTGACTCTGTGTTTACAAAATACAATTGTGCATTTTTTTTCATCACTAGAATATTTATATAGCGTTTGTCCCTCGTGACCCAGGCAATGATTACAGAAGTAGCCTCGTGATCCCGAGCATCCAGGGCATGTGTTTTGAATGTCTCAATTCATCATCTTGGATTCTTATTGTTTAATGCTATTGTTAATTTAAAAAAACACCAGCATTCTTAACCTTTTGTGGGAGTGTGTACAGACTTAGAAATACCTGTTAACATAACCAAAACTCTCTGGCAACCCTCCTCTTGTTTTTGTTTTGTTTTATTTTTTTCTGTGCAGGGCCATACATGTTCTACATGAGCTAGACCCCCAGCCCTGACACTCCTGTCCTGGAAATACCATCTCCCTGTGGTGTTTGTGAACATACCAGATTGTCAATCTCTTCCTATCGCTTTGGCTATTTGTTACAAATCTTCTAAAATTTTTCCTGCTGGGGCATCTTTTGGAGAAATATCCTTAATGTCTAGACTCACAAAACAGTACCTGTCACTCAATACATTTTTTTCCTATCCAAATTTATCAATGTCCATTGCAGTATATGCAAGTGACTCACAGATTGGTGTCTTTTTGTTTTGTTTTATTTTTCGAGACAGGGTTTCTCTGTGTAGTTTTGGTGCTTGTCCTGGATCTCGATGTGTAGTCCAGGCAGGCCTTGAACTCACAGAGATCCTCCTGGCTCTGCCTTCCGAGTGCTGGGATTAAAGGCGTGCACCACCACCACCCGGCCAGATTTGTGTCTTTAACAGAAGGTGTCCTTAGCTTTGAGAACTGGATCTGTACAGCCATTTCATGTGGGTGGCTCCAAGCATCTTAAATTCAACATAGTAAAAATTGAACTCATATTCTTGATTACCCAATATGCCACAAGACTGCTTTTTTCCCATGAAATTGCATCAAAAAAGAATCTCTGGTCTATGTAGCTGTACCAGAGAGACACAGAGGCCATCTTTGACACATTGCTCTCCCTCTCCAGTGTATCCAACCTCTCACCCTGTCCACCCAGTGTTACGTTTTCTACAGTCCTTCTCGTGATCCTAATTCAAGCCACAGCCTGTTTCCTGTAGCCTGTTACAGTAGCCTACCACTTCCCTTTCCTGCATCCTGTGTGCGCTCTTTATAACCTATTTCCACTGACACAGCCACACTGATCTCAACAAAACACAAGGCTGATAATGCCGTCTCCTGGGAAGTCGGATGATGAAATCAAAATGACATCTTGTGAGGCTTGGGACACTGCCTGGCGCTACAGGGCTTGTTGTGCTATGCACTGTATTGGGTTTAATTCCCAGTGTCACAAAAATACGAGTTTTAAAATACATTTCCTTTTCTGGAGGAAGTCATAACTCACTAAGAGAAAATTCTCACAACTGCTACATTTCCAGGCTGACGCACTGCGTGTCTGGCTTCCTTGTACCAGCTGCTTTTCAGTCCCTAACACATGTTCCGCCTCCTCTTATAAGAGGGCCTTTGCAAATGCCTTTTCCTTTGCCTGGGATGTCTCCACTTCCTTCTGTCTGTTTAATACCTATTCATCTTGAGATCAGCTCAAATGTCTTTTTCCAGCGTCGCTTTTCCTGACACCCCTGGCCAGGTCCTTCCTTAGCTGGGATCTCACAGAGCTCATTTTGTTTCTACAGCATCCATCACAGGTACCATTTGGGGGGGTGTGTGGTTAATGTATTAATATGTGTCTTCCCTACTAAGCAGAAAACTCTGGGAAGACACTTGTCTGTTTCTCTGCTTGCCATATTCCCTCTGGATCAGATGACAGTGCGGTAAGTACCTTGTAAATAGTTGCTGTGTGAACATAGGAGATGTTGGGTCCAAAGGAAACTCCATTTCTCGCAAAGGGACAAATGGTTCTCTGTGTTGCCTCCTAGCACACCAAAGCTCATGCTGGCCTCAGGCTCCCTCAGTATCACAAGTACCTGTTCCATGCTTTCTCATGTATAACTTTTGGTTTTGCTCTCCCTGTCTTCCTCCTTCCTCTCTCCATGCTCTCCTTCTCTCTCTGCTCTCTATGCACCCCCTCTCTCCCTCTCTTCTCCCCTCCCTCCCTCTCCCTTTCCTCCCTCCCCCTCTTCCCTCCCCCACCTCTGATCCTGCTTTTCCCATGGCCATGTCTGCTGGCCATGTTCAGTCTACGACATTCTCCCCATCGGCTCTGGACTGCTCCAGAGGCCTCTGGCTGTTCTCTATCTCATATCTACAATAAAAGCCTTCCCCTTAACCACATCATGGAGTGGTCGTGTTGCCAGTTTACCGAGGAGGCAAGGTGATTTTTTCATACGGCTGTAGCCATATATTTTTAATCCAAAAAAATCCTGGTATCATATAATTGAAGTCTCACCAAGCACCGGACGACACTGTTAACATCACGATTTTCCTTATTAGCGGCTTTGTTTCTAGATAGACATCAGGAGTCAGAGCTCAGTGAACTGTGACATGATGCTTCTCAGAGTTGGTCTTGGGAACGCCCGTGCATACAGGTGGCTCATTAGCCAGTAAGGCAGGCTCTGGGAACATACTGTCCTCGGATCTTAGAAACCTGTTTTTCAAAACAGGATCTTTGCATACCCTCAGGAGAAGAGGGCCAAGATGAAAGTGAGCAGTCAGGTGGGACTCTTCTCAAGGGCGCCAAGGAGGAGCTCAGCTTCACTGTTTTAGACACTGGGTTTCTCTTCTCCCTGTGAAGCTTTGAAAAAACACCCCCCAAGGCTTTTTCTTTTTTGAGAAGGGGTCATATAGAAATAACCTAAACTCTTGTTAACTGATATAGTCCTTACTTAAGTAAGACAGCCAGAGTCTCCCCTTGCCTGTTCTTATTTGATGGGTCAGACTTCGAGAAACATTTGAACTTGACCCCATTTCTCGGCTTAAATATAACAGATGGCCCACAAGTCCCCTGAATGGTGCAAACCAGCTCAGTCATGCAGCCTCCTCCTTTACTTCAGTTAGAGGATTGTCTATGGACAGTGTCTTGGGCTCGAGTTTCAAGTTGTAGCCAGACAAGATGCTAGAGAGCATAGACAGGTTTTTACATTCTTCGGCTCATGTCCTAAGTAAAAAGCTCGAGATAATAAATAAAGAACCTTTCTTCTGAGTTCCATTGCATCTAGCATTTTGAACCTAAGTCACTAAGTTTAAATCTAACTGGACATTGCATCACTTAGCAGAGGTAGACAGATGAGCCCTCAGACTCTTCAGACCAGGGGAACCGAACTGTTACAGATGTTAACCAGAAGGAAGTTCAGGTCTTGGGACATGTTCTCACAAATACTGGTAGCAAGGTTGGTAAATGTCTGTTGGACTTACAATATTAGCACTTAAGACTATTTTTTACGGGGCTGGAGAGATGGCTCAGTAGTTAATAGCACTGGCTGCTGTTCCAGAGGTCCTGAGTTCTAATCCCAGCAACCTCATGGTGGCTCACAACCATCCATAGTGGGATCTGATGCCTTCTTCTGGCATAAAGTTGTACATACAGACAGAGCACACATTCATAAAATAAATAAATCTTTTTTAAAAATTACAAATGTTGGGGAAGGAAAGTGCTGTTTACATGGACTGTAAATAAGAGGGACAGGGTATGGGAAGTGAGAAAGCTTTGGGATAAAGAGAGATAGTTGTTGCTTCTGAGTGCATTGGGGTTAATAGATTGAAAAGTTCACATGTAAGCAGGGTACTGGACCTCTGGCTGAACCTCTGCCCCAGATTCCCAGGGTTGTCAAATAAGCATAATAAAAGTGAATGCCTAATGTAGTCCTGAGGATTCCATCAATACGACAGCATGGGTCTTACTTAGCACAGCACAGGACCAGGCCAACCACCCAGAGGTCCTTCAAAGGCAGAAAAGAAAAGGCAAGCAACTGGCTGAAACTCACTTTCCCACCACGGGGTGAAGCGGGGTGTCCTGCTCCAGGCGGAGTACCTCCCAGCCCAGGCTGTCTTCACCCTCCCGTAGTATGGCTCATACAGGTCTAAGGTTTCATTGGTCAGGTCACAAGAGAGTGCTGTGGTTCCCCAGCAGTCCGTTTTATTTTTCCATTGTCTCTGTCCATACCTGAAGAAGGAAAAACACAAGGATGTGAGTTTCTTCTCTCCCATCTGAGGACTCCCGTTTCTCCAGTGCGTTAATCTTTCTACAGATTGCCATCTTCAAGAATGCACAAAAGTTCTTTCACATTAACCAAGGCAACAGCCTGCTGAAAGATAAATTGAACTTTGAAGCCTTCCACCTCCCTAACAGAAGGGTTGATTTCCTTTAATGTAACAGTGTGTTTCTTCTGGTGTGTAGACAGACTTCCATTTTAACTATTCTCTCCACATCCTTACCACTTCTGAAGCCCCAACTCTACAATTCTTCCCCCTTCCACTTCTCATCAGCTTACTGGTGAGTTATAAGGCTGGTTCCGAGAAGTTGCTACTCCATGCCGTCTCAGGCGATGCTTACTGAATGAACACACACGGCTCAGCTCTTTATTAACAACTGAGTGGAAGTTGCACTGGGCACTCCTTAGGGACCTCTGGTGCTAAGGACTGGGAGAAAGAACACTGCAAAGATGGGGTGAAGCAAAAGACCAGCCTAAGCCCATGGGTGGTGTGACAACCCAAGGGAAGACTAACGCCTTCCTTTCCTAAGACCATGGAATGTGGCAAGCGGGAAGCTGGGGAGGAAGGTCCCTGGTTGAAGGACTTATTTTGTAGCCAAATAATGAGCAATATTGCTGGTCCCTATACTCCTCTATAGTCTACGTAATAGCAGCAGCTTCACGGTGTCAGGATTAAAACAGAAGCTGCAACACAAATGCAGCACATTTTGATGAGCTTGGACTATCATTTATGGAGGACACATTGTCTTTGTGAGGGGAACACATCTGTTGTGATTGACTATTCCTGTTTCCTTTACTGTAAGATTGTGTGTTTCTTGTATTCAAAATAGTGCAGATGTTAATGAACTATGAGCCACACAAACAAATGAAAGTTCTCAAAATTATGCATATGTCTTGTGCAGGAATCATCCCAGATACGCTGAATTTTATGTAAACTTAAAGAATTATAGATTAAAGACCCGTGGAGCCTCAAGTTGAATCTTCGCTTTTGGTAGAACAGTTTCAAATCCTCTTATTACTTTGGCCACAGACAGGCTCGTTTTGGACCCATCTGTACTGCCTGCAGAGACCATAGGAATAGAGCATCAGTCCCTATTTCCTACATACCGCAAGCTTCTCCAGCTGGGTCCATAGTTTAAAAATAGAGAAACTTTTACTGAAAAGATTTCTACATTTTACAGAGGGAAATTGTTTTTTGAAATTAATTGATAGGAAAATCTGAGCAAGGATCCCCCCCCTAGCCCACCCCAACTGAAGGGACATGGATGGATTTATGGATTAAGAGGCGGTATTCTGGCTCATATCTACCCTTGATTTCCTGAATTTCTACTATAGACCATGAAAGCTAAGCTGCAATTGCTTCTGCCTTTTGCTTAGCCAAGTTCCCAAACTATTGAGGAAAAGGAAAACCTCAAAAAACCGTAGGGAATGTGTAAGCTGAATACCAGCCTCTCTCCAATCAGGACTGACTATTTCTTAGCCTTGACAAAGGAACGGAGTTGATTACATCTGAGTTTTGGCATTGACCTAGCAAAACAGGTATGAAGATTCCATGACAGGAGCATGCTGCTGCGTGTCCTAGTGTGTGGACATGCTCACAGAAGTCATTAATACTTACAAAGAATTTTCTCGATAGTAAACCTACCCGAACACAAACTTACCAACTAAAAACATATTTTGCATACTTTCACATTTGCCTCAAGTTCAACCACCAGTAGTAGTTTCGTCTTAATGAGTGTTTGCTCTGGGCTGAGCAAGTGGCTGCCAACCTTCATTGGACAAACTGAAAAGCTGTCATGTGCTGGAAATGCATGTAGCTGAAGGACTCCTTCCTGAGCTCCCTAGAGCTGACGTATCAGTCTTAAAGACAGCACACATCATCACACCTTTGTGTCACAGGACAACCTTCTGTCCCCACCTCTGCTTCTTCTCAACCCTCCCAGAACTCCTCAAAAAGCCAAATACAGCAAAATCCAGAGGTTTTCAGCTCCTCACACTCCGTTGCACTCCAGAACATATGACCCCGGGGTCTTCTCTGCCAACTGAATCTACTTACATTTTGTACTGCACAAAGTAGACACTGCCATTGGCGGTGAGGGAGCTCCCTGGCTGCCAGCGCAAAACGTTGTGGAAATTTCTGGACTGAAATTGGACCTTCTGAGGCTTCAGAGATCCATGGACTGTCCAGGTTTCTAAAGTGGCAAGAAGGACAGCATTGGACATTACTGTGATCACTATTGTTGTGAGAGGCAGAAGGTTTTCATGTAATTTCTGCATCAGGGGTCCTTGGGGAGTCACCCTAAGTGAAGGCACTAGTGACCGTGAGTTAGAAATGAACATTGTTGACTCTTAAGTATGATGATTTTGATGCCTGGTGAAAATCCCCTCCCTTCTCCAGTTCTAGTGAGTGAACTCAGGGCAAGTTCTCTGCCACTGAGCTACATATACCCTTAGTCTAAGGTAAAATTGTAGAATGATGTGTTTCATACTAGGAAAGAAAGGTCATGATACCACCAACCCCCAGGACTCCCTCATGGGTAAAGGAACTAAAACTCATGGAAAGAATAGTTTATTCCCAAAAAGCGATGGGATGTAACAACTATGATGAAAGACCCATCGCCTGTCTACTTGCTACAAGTACCCAAGTAGAGCTAGCTGTTCAGATTCACTGACCTACAGTAGCGGGCATTAGCCAAGACCTGCTGTGGGCTCTGGTGAGAATGTGAGGTCATAGGCAGGAAAGGGCAACACTTTACATGGCAGGATTTTTTGTGTTTTCTTCTTCAAACCATATGACATGGATGACCTAGCTATAACTACATTTAATCTTACAGATGCCAGAGATTTAGGACAAGATTTATTTCAGGGTCCAAAGTTTCTGACAAGGGAGAAAAGGATGGCTTCCTTGGGAATTTCTTCTTACCTGCTGAATGATGTTGACATTGTTATTACTATTTTTTTTTTGTATATGTTTTGAAGGCCTCCTGCAATGCATGAATATGGTATGGACTTGGAAAAAGCCCATGCCCAAGGCTTATTTTGTGAACCCAGATCACTATCTGCTTAATCCTATTAAATATATAAAAATGATCAGGAGATGACAGGCGCCATCTCTTGAAGACCCACGCAGAGCTGACTTGCTAACGATGGTTGGCTCTTTGCCCCCTGTCTCTTAGGTCTTTGATTTTTCTAACAGCTTCACTTCACCACTGTCCTCAGTAACAACTCACGGTGCATAAAGCACCCAGAGGCTTTTCCCACCATCTGCTTGTTGATAAAGATACCGCTGAAGTCTTCCTCTCATGGTCTAGAGACTGAGCCTTGGAGAAGTGACGAATCTGCCCAGGAGCAAGTGTTAAAGCTGGTTTTGTGCCCAGGTTGACTCAACAGGCTGTTCCTTACTACTGAAAACTAAAAGTAAAGTCCTGGGTGAGAAGAGCTGATGGTGGAGGCAGACGAATACAGCAATAATAAGCCTTTAGAATAATAAGCCTCCTCCAACTTCTTCCTTCTTGACACTTACTAGTGAACGGATAGAAATATTCATTGGAAGCTGCGCTCATTCTTTTCAAGGTATCCCCAGACAACTAGGTTAGAGAGATATTATTATTACTGTGTTTCCAGGTGTGGATACAGGCTCAACAAAGTGACACGTCATGCCCAAGGATACAGATGTGGTATGGTAGGGAAGCAGGGTCATTTTGCTTGCCCTTGAATTCCTGCTAAGTAAGTCCTTGCTACCAAGGACAAGAGGAATAGCCTACTGTAGTTCCCATATTTCTGTTAGATAGAGGCTGGGGTTGCTTTAATGTAGAGTCATAGAACAGCTCCCTAGTTGTAGGCACTTATTTAAGCCACTTAAGTGACAGTCCCCATCTATTGACTTGGGACACCAGGGGCCTTTCTGAGAGGTTTGTCTTGATAAATGTTCTTGAAGAATTCTCAGTAAACACAATTTGTTTGTGGTCTCTGTTTTGTGGGGGAGGCTGCTTTCAGCTCTTAACATACACACTAACTCTAAGTCTACGCAGTGACCTACAGTCTTCACTCCACAGATGAGAAAAGTCTTGTACAGGGTGTTAAGTAAGATGCCTGTTTTTCTAGGCAACAAATGGCAGGTGAAACCTAGGTCCTGACTATGTGGCTTAGGGTCTTGTGTCTTGTGCTCATAATCACTTAATGACAGAGAGAGAGAGACAGAGAGAGAGAGAGAGAGAGAGAGAGAGAGAGAGAGAGAGAGAGTGAGACTATGAATTGTTTTCTACTGTGAAAGTGACCTCTCTGTCCTTAACTCAATCCCTATGGAGCTATGCATTCAGGATACAGAAGGCAACTGACCCCCATGTCTGCTGGGACCATTTGGTGACCTTACAGAGTCCAGAAAATCATCCAAGCCATTCCTTGTCTTGATCAGACTCAAAAGTGGCCAATTAAAAGGAAGTAATCAAGTACTTACCTGTTCCACTGGCCAGGAGGGACCTGATGAGGAAGCCTAGAAAGTACTGCTTCAGCATCATGGTTGCAAGTGTGCCTGTCTGGCGACCAATGTTCCTGTCAGTGAGGAGACAGCTGAGAAGAGGGAACTGTAAAAATCCACACATGGACCGTCACTTCCGTAGGCTCAACCAATGGTAAATGTTTCCCTTAAAAAAAAAAAAAAGGTATTTTGTTACATTATTTTACCACTAAAGACACACACACACACACACACACACACACACACACACACACACACCCCTGAATGTTTATCTGGAGGTTTGATAGCAAATCCTTAGGGTAGGGTCGGATAGGAGTTGTGCAAGGTGAGTTGAACGAATCTTGAGGGAATTTGGCTTTAAGAGGCAGGATGGTTTATGGGGACCAGGACTTCAGAGTAATATGATTGGCAGGTGGAGCTGCCCCAGCCCCTGGCAGCTGTTCAAAGAGTTATAGGCAACTCTTTTTGGATAGTTTCTCAGTCTCCCTGGTATTTATGACTCAGGCTCCTTGACACTCCTGACTCCCCACAGTGCTATACTGTTAGCTTTTTCTTCTCAAGGAGGCCTTGAGCCCCTTCCAATAAATGTCTCCCTTTCCCATTTCCAGCCCACAGTTTCCAGCCATTCATCTCATGGAAGATCTTCAAAGTTGCCAAACCAAAGGATGCCTGAAGAAGGTGACCGTGGAGGACTATGGGTTTGAGCGGTATCAAATCTGTGTCATCACTCGAGTGAAATCAGATTGAACCAGCTCATCCGCTCCGTCAAAGCTTCATGATATTGCATCACCAAAAAAATTCCCCTTGTGTTTTTAGAGGCATTGAAAAGTTTGGCATATAAGCACAATAAAGTCATAGTTTTTTTGTTTTTGTTTTGCTTTTTTTTTTTTTTTTTTCCTGCTTTGAAGAGGCTCTTTAGGTCAAAAGATGAAATGCGCTCTGGCTTCCTTTCCATCGTATATGAATGGAAGAAAAAAAAAAGAAATAAAAAGGAAAGATACAAATGCTCCTAGGTATGGTGGAGGAGAAAGTTTATTGTAGACATGTGTGAGAGCATAGCCAGAGGCAGGAACATCTGGGAGAGTCCAGAGTGGGCATGACCCTGAGCCCTGTGAGGAGAGGGGGGAGGGAAAGAAGAGAGGAGAGAAGGGGCCAGGTGCAGCCGCCAGGAGACCCAAAGTTACAAAGAGAGTGGGTAACCAAAATGGTCGGATTGTATAGGGAGGAGCAGCCAGCCCTCTGGGATGGAGAGTTCAGGCTGGGGGGCAGGGTATGCCAGCCAGGAGGGCCCTGTAACTGGAGGGATGGCAGGGAGAACCTAGCAGCCAGGTTGGCTTTGATATGATAAATAGGCATGTCAGCCCTTTGCCCCAGGTTTGAAACCTAATAGTATGCAGGCAGATTCATCCAAATTCTTTGAAGAGCTCCTTTGGTGATGGCTGCTGAGTGGTATTCATTCATTCATTCATTCATCCCCTCGTGCATTCATACTTGGCAAATATGTGCTGACCCACCACAGAGCAGGCATTGTTCTGAGCAGTAAATAAGACAGAGACTGCCCTTGAGTTCCAGATGCTGAGTTCTAGAGGGGTCAGGGATGTAGACAGTACTGAGCTAAGGTTGGGATGTGACTTTCTATCCATGTCTCCCCTGTCTCTCTCTATCTTCAATGAGAAAGAAAAGGTTTGAGCAGGCAGCTGCAAGGTGCCTTCTGTTCTTCACCACAGGGACTAGCTAGGACTGGAGCTGGAGGAAGCTGGGGGAGAACACAGTAGAACCACAGGATAGGGTGTGCTGCTGATACACAGCAGGGTTATTTGAGGACAGCTGTAATGCATGCCGATGGTATGGAGGTGTGCGATGATAACCCGGTCAGCTCCCGGTGCTTGTCAGACTTCTGAATCTACGCCCTCCCCTTCTCCGAGGGAAGCCGCTGTTGTATAGAAGGTTACCTCTTTGAAGAATCATGCATCATATGCTGTGTTCCCCTTCCATGATTCTGGTGTACCTTGTCTCACAATTTCCCCAGTATCATCCTCCACTTATTTGCTGATGTTGCCCACTGGATTTTAAACTTAGGACCAGCCCTGATATTTTAAATGGTAGGTGATCATCTGGATTTGAACATAGATGATATTCAATATCATCACCATCAATGAATCCTATTTTGAAGCAATTAAATTGCTCCGAGTTCCAGTTTAAGGAGAAGGAGGAAATATTTGAGTTCAGAGTGTGACGTTGAGCAGCAGAGAGTGAGATTAGAGTTTCCACAGAGCTGCTGACTTTGGAGAGAACAAATAAGAAGTTGGGAGGAAGGGGAGAGAGCTATGTAAGAATCCTTAAGAACGGAATTCTGGCTGGGACGGTAGTTCAGTGGCAGAGTATTTGTCTAGCATGTTCTCGATCCTGGCTTCGATCCTTAGCATCCAAATCACAGGGAAAAAAAAAAAAATGTATCTAAGAACTAAATTCTCTCCATACCCCAAGCTTTTGTCAGGTCACATTTCAGACACCAAATCAGTCTTGTCACCATTCAGTGAGCTCTCTCGATGAGTAATATGACAACCCGTGGAGAGCCGACATCGCTAACGATTCGCTGGGTAGACAAAAAGACAAATTATACTTTCTCCGTTAACTTGGCAGCCAAGGAATACGTACAGGATTGCGGCAAATGAAATCTGAAGTCATCTTGTGTCAAAAGAACATTCATGAGTTAATGGGGGCCCCCTGCTCTCCTTGCTTCAGTCATGAAATGCTAGCTTTCGACACATTTTCTGTCCTCTCCTTCCTGCCCTCTACTGCTCAGGAGGCAGTGTCTACTTGACTATTGTCATCCTTGTTCAGGTCATGATTAGGGAGCCTATTTTGATTGTTCTTGATCAAGGTCATTCACTGACCTTGGAAACCCTTTGTGGTATCATCAACCATTAGGTCCTTTCAAAAGTACCTTCAAGCACTTGGCGACCCTGGAAAGAACTTCACTGGAATTTGAATGGCTGGCCATTTCTTCCTCCATCATAATCTTGGGTCCTTGCTATCATGATGTTTTAGCAGACTTGTGGCCATGGCCTCCTGACTAGCCTTCCTGTTACTGAGACTGTCCAGTGCATCAAGTGGGGTGTTCCTTTTAAACATGAAATTAGGACATTTCCCTCAAGAACGTGCCAACCTGCCCATCTCAATGAGAATGAAAATCAAAAATTTTACAGTTCTTTATTGGATCCTCCATGAGTTGACTTTGTTACCTCTAAAGTCATCCCCTGCACACTCTCCATTTTATCTACAGTTCTCCAGACTTCAGAGCCTTTTTGACATTGCCTTAACATGCCAGACACAGTCCCTCTCACTCTCCTGAATGGTATTCCTGAGATGCACACGCTCATTGCCTTACCTCCTTTGTGCCTGTTTAAATATTGCCTTAACAGTGGCTTTTCATCTGCTCACTCCACATAGCAGGCCTACTCCCTCCCAGCTGGCTATCTGTCACCCTCTTCGCTTACCATCATTGCATGGGATATGTTTTACGCTATTCCAAATATGTGAAAGCTTCCTTGTCAGCTCATGAGCTTGAACACTGGGTCCCTGTCAAGTCCAAAGGAAATTTCATTCCCAAATTCTGGTGGTTAGACAAAAGCAAGCATTCCTCAGGAACTCAGGAAGCTGGTTCTCCTCCACCAAAGGAGCCAGTTCCCTTATCAGTGGCAGAAAGGACAAATGGCTATCTGTGGTCCCTATTAGCATACCAAGGCACAGGCTGGCCTCATGCTCCCTCAGTATCACAGTACTGACAGAGTCCATGCTGTTCTCAGCGCTTCTGGCCCACCCTCCTACCTTAAACCTCCCCCCAGCTACTCCCTTCTCCTTATAACCCTGCTATTTCGGCTATGCTTTCCCTGATTTCCCTTGGTCCCTTCTTGGTCCTCTCTTTCCTCTGGACTCTTTCAGATGCTTCTGGCTGTTTTCTTCCTCATATCTACCAATAAAATCTTCCCCTTAACTATACCTTGGAATGGTCATGTCTATGCATTTCCCAGCTGGTGACACTTTTATTTTGGAAGGTTGTATGATCTTAGGAGGTGGAAGGTTATGGGAGGAAGTGGGTCACTGGAGGTGGGCCTTGAGGTTTTTAAATCACCCCTTCCCCTTTCTATTAACTCTCAGCCTCTCTGCTTCCCAACGTCTGTACAAAGCGACTATTGGGTTTCCTGCTCCTCCTACTGAGTTATCCATGCTGTGATGAGATGTAGCCCCTCCACCCATAAGCCAGAACAAACACTTTCTCCTTAGATCGCTTCTTGTCAGGTATTTGGTCCCATGAACACATCAAGTCATTAACACAGAAAGTTGGTACCAAGCACATTTGGCAGAATCCAGGACTGGACTTCAAATATCTTCCTCATTGTTCTCCAACTCACCTTCTCAGATACATCCTTCTCTGGACCTGATGCTCTGTTTTTAACTAGGCTGGTTGGTCCGTGAGAGCTAGGAATCCTCGTGCCTCCTGTTTGGGGGTTGCAAGAAGGGGAAGCCATACCTGGCTTTTTTTATGTGTTGAGGATCTGAACTCGGGGCCTCATGCATGTCCTGCACCACACCCATGCAGCAATCTTTCCAGCCAGGGGTCATATTTCTACTGTCTTAGTGATTTCTATCGTTCCTGTAAAACAGAAACTGTCGGCACCTACTTGTCAACCATTCTCTTTCCGTTCAGCACTCAAGGCTTTCTCCTTCACTGCACAGGGAAAGCTTCCTTGATCCCCCGCTGTCTGGTGAGACCTGCTTTTCGTTCTGAACTACTCGGAACAGGCTTTTCCTCATTGACTACTTACTATAGAAATGCCACATTCTATAAGGGTTTTTAGATTTTACATATATGAATGTCTGGCCTGTATGGATGTCTGTATGCCATGTGTGTGCCTGGTGCCAATGGGGGTCAGAAGCAGGTGCTGGATGCCCTGGAACTGGAGTTATGGATGTTTGTGAGCCACCATGTGGGTGCTGGGAATTGAACCCCAGTTCTCTGCAGCAAGTTCAGCTCCTACCCATTGAGCACCCCTCCATTCCTAACCCATTTTAAAAGAAGAGATTATTTTTAGAATTACTTTAAAGGTTAGATACATATAAAATAGAAAATAATTCTACAGCATT